TGTGTGTGTGTGTGTGTGTGTGTGTGTGTGTGTGTGTGTGTGCGTGTGCTCATACAGTTTAACCTTACTCGAATGACCCCACGTCAGTCGTGGAAATATGTTTTCTGAAGAACCAGAGCAAGAACAAAGCCTCTTACAAGATGTTTCAGTTTAGTAACATAACTCCCAGTCATCTTCTCATGTGTCAGTGTTAAGCTACTTTTTCTGAAGAAACTAAAAATTAAGATCAATTTGAAGCTATGTTTTGCAATGAAATCATTGTGGTTTGTAAAGAAATATTTCTTCTGCCACTGCTCTGGTGGTGGTGTGTTAGCAGTGGGGAGAGGCGTTCAGTGGGGTGGGACTGAGCTTTAGGGAGGAGCTTTGTGTAAATAGGCACCGCTTTGTATGAGGAAGCTTTTAGGTAGCTGACATTCAAGGATTTCTCAAACATGCATGAGTGAGTCAAAGCAACACTCTGGCTATGTTTATGACGACAATATAACATGACACAAACTCAATTTTTTTTTGTCTAAGGTTGACTCCTCCTTCTCCCCTTTCACCCTTAAGACACCTTGGAACATTTTTTGTTTCATTAAAACAAAGTGAGTTATGAGTGTACCACTCAAAGAGCAGCAGCTAATTATGAGAGCAACCCGTCGGGTCAAAAGATAAACATGTCAAGATTCTTCACATCTGGTTATTGTCCCTCTGTGAGAACTGCTCTAGTGTATTAGATTTGTTAACAGCTTGACCCCCCCCCCCCTACACACACACATACACCTTCCACCCCGTACAAAGCAAATGAGTTGGAGGGGTAACTGGGGGGTAACTGTGAGCGGTTTCATTTTTATAGAGTTTTTTTTAAAGAAACAGAAAACAGTTGATAAAAAAGACCAAACTAAGATGAGGATAATATTACWAAAAGAGGCATTTTGTTGGAGGAGGGAGGCTAACAGAAAAACTTGAAGACAAGAAAATGGTTGAAGAGTGCCTTCTGTCTTTCCCAGTTGCCATGGACACCAAGAAAGCTGAGTTGCTGCATTGCGAGCATTTTTCTTTTTGAATGGACACCCCCCCCTCCACACACACACACACACACACACACACACACACACACACACACACAC